ATAGTATTTTGCAAAACCTAGATCTACTGAAAAAAAATTTAATCAAGTTTTTTTTTCAAAAATTATTCTCAAACGTGTTGTCATCATTTCTTGTTCTAAATTAAATTTTCATCTGCAACGAGATTTAATAAAATAAAAAATAGGGTGTGAGTGAGTGGGTGTAGGTGTGGGCAAAGTCTTCTACTCACACCCACATCACACATCTACACTCATACCCATACCCACATCCACACCCGCACCCCACACACTCACACCCACACACCCACACCCACCCACACCCACACACCCACACCCACCCACACCCACACCCACACCCACATCCACACCCGCACCCCACACACCCACACCCACACACCCACACCCACCCACACATCCCACCCAGGATGCGTATGAGGGGGTGTAGGAGTGACATAAGACACTCACACCCACACCCCACCCACACCCACATCCACACACGAACGGAAGAAAAAACAATGGTGACGATAATAAAAATACATTATACTATGTTTTTCTTTCGTTTACTTATGCGTTGTTAATATATTTTTTTGTTGATCTTTCTTGTTTGTCATACTTACATTTTCAGAAGAAACTTTACAGAATCATACTGCACTTAACGTCATAGACGTTTTTTCTTTCATTTCTGGAATAAATATTTGTGGCTGTACAAAGATGCCAGACATCCATTATAATGACGACGCTTATTTGGTTGTTTTTCAATGAATAAAATAAAATTCATGTCTTCAGTGTTGTTAGAAAATTCGTAGGACACACATTGTCCATCAATACAGGAAAAAATACCAAATACAAGATTGATGCTTATTATATGAGTATTCATTATTTACAAATGATTGATACTCTGAGCATATTTAGAAATAATGCGAGTGACACTATTAATTCTTTGCCAACTTTATATAAGTATATGTAACTTCTTTTTGCATGTACATGAATTTCACAACAACTAATTTTTACTAAGAATAGTTATCAGTTTCAACATATCAAATAGAATCGATATTATTAGTAACAATACTTCGACATCAGTCTCTATTGTAAAAGAATGTTATCGAATATTTATTCAACGAATTCTGAATGAGATTAAAAAAATTAAAGTCATTTTGGTCTATAATAAAAGAAGTTGGAAGAAGTAAAATATTGGCATATAAAAAGATTTCTTATGATTTGACAAATATTTCCAATGATTACAGCATAAATAAAAAATCACTTTAGCAAGAGGATAGGATGAATGAGTGTTTCTTCTGGAATATTCTCACCTAGTCATGACTTTTATATTCATCTTTTACTATTTTGAATTATTGAATTCATTTGAGATGAATTAGGTAGTAAATAGACCAATTTTTTTGTGAATATATTCTGTTTAATAAATATAAATGATTGTTGAAACACAAGTTTAAATAAATATCGAGGAAGAAATATTTTGGAGTTTAGTTTTTGTTAAAAAAAATAGGATGAATGTATCAGTTTTCTAAAATATGAAGTGGATTCTAGAAATAGTGTCTATATTGAAAATTATCAATTTTTCATAAAATGATAGAAAAGTTGCTCAAAGCTCATAGCTATGTAAGTCTTTTGTGTTTAAGAATGAAATACAATGTGAAGCTAATTATAGAAAAATCATACTCTTCTAGCTGTTGATAACCAGTTCTATCTATTGGTACTTCACTACTAACTCTAATACAAAAATGAAATTGGATATTTATAGTCTCTACGAAACGAAGTTCTTATTTTTAATATGGATTTTTTTTCTTCTTTATAATCAATCATTTTATGTTCTTTACTTTGAATGTTTTGCCGTTGTTATGTGCAACCCTTCTCAACTGAGTATTCGTGTAGAAAGAATCTAAAAAGAAAAACGAAAAAACAGGAGCGTAAAGTGTTGCTATGATGCAAAGCTACTAAACAAATCATTTCACAAACAACAGACTCGTTGCACATTCACAATATTCGACGAAGTCGGTACACATCATACTCAACAATTACACGGTATAGACGGTTTTTATTATTTGATTTTGATGACTAATTCGTAGGAGGATTTTTAAGATTCATGATTCGTGATGTTCCATAAGTTTATCGCCCTTTGGGGTCAACTATTTTTCGGACTAGCTCCTTCCATATCCATTGGTCTTGTGTCAGATGGAACAAGTATTGTCCACACCATTCTGTGATGTCGTCCATCCACTCGCTTCATGGATGACCTCTTCAAGATTTTCCATTCATTTTTGCAAATATGGAGTGCTTGATCAGTCTATTATTGTCCATTCTGCAGTTATGACCAAACAATCTTGAGGGTGTGGATGTGGACGTTCGTGTGAAATCTTCCTGCATCTAAACCCATACCCACACCCACTCACCCAGACTCACACCCACCCACCCACACTCACACCCGCTCTGAAATGTTGGATAGTTAATGACGAATGATTTCCACCTTTGTTGGATAAGAACCATATCGATCATGTTTTATGCACCCCATCAGATGATCCCCAGGTCCACTGCCGATTGGGTTTTTGCTGAAATTTCGTGTTATATCTGTAGAGATTGTGTGCTGTTGCGAATTCTAGGAGGCGTTCTCCGCGTTCGTTTCTGTCACCATATCCGTATTTTCCCATGACGGGTTTCCAATCTGTATTATCACTGCCAACTTTTGCGTTCTAGTCGCCGGTTAGGATGACTATGTCTTTTTTATGTGTCTTTGCTAGGGTGTGGGTGTGGGTGTTCGTGTGAAATCTTCCTGCATCTAAACCCACACCAACACCCTATCCACTCACACACCATCAAGTGTATGAAAATGCTTCCAAGAATTGCTGAATCGTGGAAGCACAGCCAAAATTCATTTCTAGTAATGAAGTTCGATTAGCGTTGCAGACGTAGTGGGTTGGGTCACATAAAATAATGGTGTTGCTATCTGGAAGAAATTTCCAACGATACTCATTCTTTCTGTGTATGGGGCGAAGATAAACATTGAGTAATATTAAATGTTTGTTCTTTATTTACTTTCATCCATGTAAAATATGAGGCAGCTGACTGTTAACTTTAGCTATTTCGACTCATACTTTTTATGATCGTACGCCAATGTAAGAGCAAGCAATGGTGCCGAGCATGATGCTATTGTTTCGCAAATAAGCAAGCAAAGGATCCCAGATCCAGCATTACAGCGACCAGAAACGGCCGTCTACAACCACCGTAGACGGTCGCCGCATGCCGCTGTATATTGCCGTTTGCTACAAAAAAAAGGTCGTAAACGTGCGTATCGGTACTGTATTCTCATGAACCGTTTTACGGCCGTACTCCGCCGTGCCGTATACAGTCGTAAACGACACCAAAGGATACTGACAAAGCAACCGTCTCTTTTTCCGACGACTTTTCAGCCTTATTCTAAGTATATGTATTGGTCATGTTCGGCCGAATCCTAGGGTTCTTGGGGACGCTCTATTGATTGATTATCATATGTGTGCCTTCCGTCCAGACCCTTCATCCAGAAATAAAATCCAGAGTTTTGATTGGTCAATGAAATCAACCAATCAGATTTCAGGAGGGCTTTTCTGCCTTATTATAAGGACATGTGCTCATCATGTTCGGGCCGATCCTAGGATTCTTGTGGATGCTCTATCGATTGATGGGTATATATGTGGGTCGTCTTCTGGTCTTGTAACGAGATATAAAATTCGGAGATTCAATCGGCGAAATGGGGTTGAGCAAAGACGTTGCCGCGGTGGATCGTTCCGGTTTTTTTGCGGTTATGTTGGCATCATGTTTTAGTCCGTTTGAGGGACTGTTATGGTTGTTGTGAAGGTTCCGTTTATCGGACTCTCTCGGTTTTTGTGTAACTGTCGTGTGCTGTTCGGTTGTGTGATTTGTGAGTTCTAATTTATTGAGCAGCTGTCACTGGACGTTTCTTTTGGGTAATGAGCAGAAAGAATTACTGTTTTGATTTTTGCCTTTTGGCGATACATGTATTATCTAGTATGCGCTTGTTGCTGACCGTGTGATACAGCATTCGGTAACATCTGCCGTGTACCGTACATCGCAGTGGTTGATGGTATGCCTGTTTATGGTGTCCGTATTGATACGGTGGTCGTGAACGGCCACTAATCTGAGTCATTATTTTCGATCATCGTAACCGGGCGTAAAGTGCCGTAAACTGTTAGCAGATTGCAGCACCGTAAATTGCTGGCGTATACGGTGTCTTGCGTTGTTTCACATGGAACGTGTACAGTCGGCGTATGGTTACACTAGGCATTTACGGTTGACTTCCACGGCCGTCATATACGTTGACCGTAAGGTGTCGTATGGGATCGTTTACTGTTGTTGTAAACGTCCACTTGGAAACGACAACCGTTTTCCGCCGTAATTGATTGTGTACGGCCGTGTATGGTCGTGCGTGATTGACCTGGAATAGAATAATAATGCAGACGAGTGACCCCTTTATATAATCAGTCAGTTCTAGTTTTTCGTTTTGCTAGTAGTTACATCTCAGGTGATGGTAAATACGAAGTGTGAGTAGCATTTTAAATTACGTGATATATATTTTATTTATTAATAAATATTGAATATTAATTTAAAACCATCAGGCATAAAAATATATGAAATAGTAGATCGAATATTATATTTAATAATCAAAATACGATATCTGTAAGTAAGTCAATTTGTTTTAAGGAATAAAATAGAACTCAAACTGAGTAAAGCAATGATATTTCTATTTACACAGTATGGCTATCGTTGCCACCCATAAAAATTTGATGAGACATCAGAGACATTAGCGGTAGGCTTATATTTTCGGCGAATATTGCAAGGGGGAAACAGCGGACTTTTGTACTTGAAGTTACTTTGAGCTACTTCAAGTTATTTTCAGCTACTTCAAGCAGCTTACTTTGAAGTACTT